GAAGTAGCAGCAGAAGATGAGGCTGAGCACAAAGACGAAGATGCCGGTGCCGAAAATGACCATGTAGATGTTCACTGGCAGGTCCTGGAAGGTGATGGGAGGCATCGCGCAGGGTCTACCGGGGTGAATCAGCCCCAGACTGCAGGAGCACCCTTTAGAGGAGGGAAAGTCAGCGTTTAGGGCAAAAAAAGGGGAAAAAGAGGTGAAGAAGATGAGCTGTGAGAGCAGAGAGAGCCTGGGCGGACTCCGTCCCCTCTGGAGTTTGCGAAGGGGGCAGAAACCAACACCAAAACCTGGCCCCATGGCCATGAGCTGAAGATCTCCCCCCGAGCAGCTCAGCACTGCACAGGCACGGACACGGTGGCATCTCCACAGCCACAGATCCCTTCTCCAGCAGCACAAACCCACCCTGGGCAGAATCCAGGAGTCCAGGGGGAAAGGAGGCCCTGTGCTTTCATCTCCTGAGGAATACATGGAGCCTGGGAGGGGATTTAGGGGAGGACAGAGTGAAAAAAGAGCTCAAAAAAACAAGAACGGTTGGCGTCTGTCATTGTGAGAGCCAGAAATGGTGAGGGGCTGGGTCATTCTCAGTGCTGGGAGATGTGTGGGTGCTGTGCCCAAATCCCCTTTCTTAGCAAAAATACGGGTGCCAGGACGTCACTGCCTGGGCCACCACGGGGGAAACACCGAGGGCTGGTGACAGGGGGGTCCCCACCAAACCGAGGGGTAAAGGCACAGAAACACCAGCCCCACTGCGGCTGCCTCTGCCGGGAGCCGATGCAGAGCCAGGCACTGAACAAGCAGAGCTTTTCATGTCTCCAAATCGCGCTGACCCTGCAAGAGCCGGAGCTTTGATTTCGCCTCAGATCTCGCTCAGACGGGACCTTAAAGGCGAGCAGCCCCCGAGCCCCATCTGTGCTCCACGCAGCATCTCCCCCTGCCCCATCCGCTCATCCTCTCATCAAAAGCTCCCACAGAAACACTTCTGGGTTTAATTACAGCCCAGCGAAACCCTCCCCCTGTTTCTCACGAGAGGATGAGGTCTGCTCTCCACTGCGGATGCAATGGTCAAAGCCACCGTGGCTGCAGAAGGACTTGGCTCCAGGGACCAGCATTGGCCACTGTGCAGCTGGAGCAGGCACCAGACGAGTCTGGGCTGTAGGAAATGGGGTTTTCCTGCTACGGGGTGCAGATCCTCATCGGTCTTTGCCTCCCGTATTCACCAGAGACCATTCGTCAGCCGCCTCATTGCAGAGCGAGAAAGGGAGGATTTGTTTGTCGGCTCCCGCTCTTGAGACCACCAGGTGCAGGAAAAGACAATAGGAAAGGTTATATTTGTTTTCCCATTTCCCTGCTGGAAACGCTTGAGAATTGTTCCAAAAAGAAGAAAAAAAACAACCAAGAAGTCTATCAAGTCTGAAAAGAAAAAAGCCTGAGCAGCTGAACGAGGAGACGGTGCTGCACGTGGTGCTGGGCCCGGGCTGCAGAGCAGCTGCTGAGGGACGGAGGAAGCCTTGCTCGACGCGGCCAAACAGCGCCGTGCGTTGTGGCACCAACACGAGTGAAACAACAACGCTTCCTCCGTGGGTTTCCAAGGCAGAGCTACTCCAGGAGCCTGCCAAAAAGCACCATCACCCTCCGTGCCAGCAGGCGGTGGCCACCCGTGATGAGCTGGAGAAGCCCTCGCCTGGGGACAGCAGGGTGGCAATCAGCTCTACAGGGAGCTGGGAAAGGCTGGGACGAGCACCCATGGGAAGCACTGGGTGTGCTGGGAAGGAGAGCCCTGGGGGGACAAACCCCAGGCTGATCCCCCCAGCGCACCCCTCTGCGCTCACAGCAAAGGGCTCAAAACCCAGCGTGCGAGCCCCTGAACGTCACACCCAGCCATCGCTGTCCCCACGGTCCCCGCAGAAACCCATGGGGCAGAAACCGTATTCCCTGACCCTGCAAGTCGCTCACCGAGCACTGCTCCACCTCAGACACCCGAATTCCCCCTGGGTGGCAACAGCCACGTGTAAAAGGTGCCGAGAGAGGGGCAGGCAAACCACAGCTGGGTAAAAACCGAGGTGGAACGAGAGACGCCGTAACTCACAGCCCGGGACCGAAGGAAGCAGGGGAGCCGGTCTAATGTGTCCCTGCCACCGCAACACAGCTGGCAAGGCTGATCTGGGACTCACCAGCTTAGCAAGGCTCATTCCTGTGAACTTGGCTTTCAGGAACTCACGAGCTCCAGGCTGCGGTGCCGAAAAGCGAGGGTGGCTCCGGGGAAGCGCCCTTTGCCGGTTGGGGAGCAGCCCTGGGCTCGGCGGAGATGGGAAGGTCCTGGCAGGACAAGCCCTGGAGCAGCAGG